ACAGACAAGTTTAAAAACGCTTTATGTAGTTGGCATCTCTTTTATAAATCTGTCTGAGAGGATCTGAACACAGACACATGCAAGTCCGAAGGACAAAGGGCATAAACATGCTGTTTACCTTAATAATTCGCCAGTGACAGAAAGAATGGTATTTACACGCATGTACACTGAAAATACCCAACCATCAAAACTGCAAAAACAGTATAATAAAAGTATTTGTTTTTAACAAACACGAGGCATCTTCCAGATCAAGGGGAAAAAAAATAATTTTTGGAATTATAGAGAGCACACACATGTGATGCCGTCTTAAAACCCTAACTGGCCTCTTCAAGGAGCAACAGGACTTAAAAGTGGCATGAAATATGAACAAAAACACAATTTCCTCTACAGAGAACAAAAATTAATGGCTTGTTCTCAGGAGGATATGGAATTTTCATAGTAATCAAATAGAATTACTTAATTTGACAATATATGGATCTTCACATTGGTCATCTTACTGTGTGATTTTAACTGTACAGGTGATGACCAGCAGGATACAGTTGCAAAAAGCTCTTGAAAGCTAAAGACACGCTAACACTAAGAAGCTAAGCTAAAGCTAAACACAAGCTAAAATTAAAAGACTTAGTTATAGCTAAAGACACACTAACACTAAGTGACTTAGCCAAAATTAAAGACAAGCTAACAATAAGAGATTTAGCCAAAGCTAAAGACAAGCTAACAGTAAGAGACTTAGCAAAAGCTAAAGACAAGCTAACAATAAGAGNCCAAAGCTAAAGACAAGCTAACAGTAAGAGACTTAGCAAAAGCTAAAGACAAGCTAACAATAAGAGATTTAGCCAAAGCTAAAGACAAGCTAACACTAACAGACTTAGCCAAAGCTAAAGACAAGCTAACACTAACAGACTTAGCCAAAGCTAAAGACAAGCTAACAGTAAGTGACTTAGCCAAAGCTAAAGACAAGCTAACAGTAAGTGACTTAGCCAAAGCTGAAGACAAGCTAACAGTAAGATACTTAGCTAAAGTTAAAGACAAGCTAACACTAAGAGACTTCGCTAAAAATAAAAACTCCAAAAAAAAGGCCCTTCCTCAGCTCACCATAGTCTTCCCCCTTTTTAATCTGCAGGATCCTCCCTGTGCTTGAGTTTTTGCCCCTGGAGTCTGTACAGATGATCAGGAGGCTCCTGTTCACATGGTGCTGGTCCACGGCACACCTGTAACAGTGTCGAGGTGGTTAGCCTCAGTTAACTCAGGTTAACCTAGACATCATGTTCCTGAGTGCGACCTACCTGCCTGGGCTGCGCAGCCCGTGCGCATAGATCTCTGGTGGCTGGTTGGTGCTGTTGAAGTAGGGGTTGTCCTTAGGGATGGCGTAGGGGTCCTGGCAGGAGTCTGTGTTCACATCCACGCGCAGCACGGCCCCCGTGAAGTCGCTGTGGGACAGAGGCACGGCCGGGGCGTGCCGCTCACTCATTTCTGCATGACGCTCTCAAGACGTGCCGTCAAAAGCACCCCCAGGGCCTACCTCAGGCCGTCCATCTCCTCCATGTCATCCAGTGTGATCAAGCCGTCGCCCAGGAATATGTGCAGCAGCCCGTCAGCCCCGAAGTGCAGCTGCCCTCCAAGATGCTTCCGGTGCAGCTCTGCCACCTCCATCAGGACCCGCTGCGTCCGCACATCCACCTGGTTGGTGTCCTTTCTGGAAGGAAGCAGCGGCCTGTCACTGGCCTGGGAGTGTCTGGTGGGCAGGTGTAGCAGCCCTCCAAGGGGTAACCAGGGAGATGGGGGAGTGTTGAGTAGGCGGGTGTAGCAGCCCTCCAAGGGGGAACCAGGGAGATGGGGGAGTGTTGAGTAGACGGGTGTAGCAGCTCTCCAAGGGGGAACCAGGGAGATGGGGGAGTGTTGAGTAGGCGGGTGTAGCAGCTCTCCAAGGGATAACCAGGGAGATAGGGGAGTGTTGAGTAGACGGGTATAGCAGTTCTCCAAGGGGGAACCAGG